AATTTGTGCCTTACTTAACGCCCGCACTGAGATACCGCCCATCAGTTTGTAGAAATTCACCACGAGGTGTTTTGCTCACGCTACAAAATGCAGTTTAGGTGTTGGGTTTGTTTGTTTGTTTAACAGAATTAGTGCTGACAGATGGGGCAAAACATCTACATCTATGTTAGTAAATTAAATAGCGACAGGGAACATTCCCGGGCACTGAACTCGTGTTCTGTTCGATTGCTAGAAGAGTCCCAGGCAGAATTCTGGCCGCAACCAAGCAGCGCTCTCAAATGACTCCTAGGTATGGCTCAGGAGCTGGAACATCCAGGGACCAACATGATCTGGCAGTTCATGTGAGGCTACTGGGTTTTGGGAAGTCAGAAAGTTTAATAGTACAGATGTGGGCTGTTCTATGCCAGCTGGCCTCTGTGCCAGAGAATGGTTCCCAGCTGGTTCAATTTATACCGCAGATGATTCCTAAGTAGCCCTGGAAGAGGTGTTAAGCACAAATTAAGGAAGGTGCCTCCAAGTACGGTTGTGTCAGTACTGTTCAGTTTTTTGGTAGTTTGTCAAGAGAAAAGAATGCAGGTCAGAACCCTGCCACATTCAAGGTAAATGTCCAGGGAAACTGCTGCGAACACAACAGACCTTTCCTGCGCTGACTGCTCTTCCAGATCAACCTAAAAAAGGGATCGTTTGCTGTTTTCTTAATGAAATGCCAAAGAAATTAGCATTTTATCGTATTCCAATGAGAAAGAGTTGGAGTGAACAAATATATTGCAAACCTGAGAACACCAACAAGACATGCATTTATTTACATTTTAGTGAGTTTATGTCAATAAGGGTTTAATCCTAGTGATACGTTACTTCAGGCAATACACGACAGGTCTGTACGAAGGCAGACATAGTGGAGAGTCTCACTCCAGGAACCGAGCTACTGAGTGCTACTGCTATAGAGAAAAACAGCAGTATGGAAGTTACTAGAATTAAAAAAGGTCTTGTGGGGGAAAAAATAGAGAATGTTTCCAAAACAGGGAGTCAAAGAACTTCCCGCAAATCACTGACCGTGAATGCCTTATGGCAGCTTGACATTGCTGTAACAGTGTGATTACCTTACAATGTAGTAGGATAAGCCAAACTCGGGGAGGGACTGCCATGCTTGAATAAAACGCAGCTTGGCCTCCACTAGGGGCATCTGGCATACATTTTGGTGGGCTTCCAGAATACGAGCAGCCAACTGGGAAACACAGGAAGAGAGAAAGGTTTCACTTGACTGGAGAACAAAAATACCCTTGCTTTCACTAAATCAAACATCATTAGCTCTGATGCCATGTTCAGACACTTAGTCATCACCGTTCATGCAGAGGTACTGCAGAGAGCACTTGGGGACAGATCCTGAGCTACAAGGGCAGAAGAATGCAGGAAGGTCTCAGTGTCTGGGTTTGTGCTGCGCTGGGTCTAGCTCCAGCATACTGCTCTGGAGACTGTCCCCCGAGGGTGGGTAGGCTGAACTCTTCTGCAGCAAAAGCAGTGGACAAGGAATTAGGTGGAGAGGAAGGAGAGGCACCCAGGCGAGGACAGGAAGACACTGTTATTTAAGATGTAGACGGTAACTTCCTGTCCTTAAAAACCTTCCTTTCTTACTCTGAAGAGACTTTCAGGGACAGCGTTATCAGGAGGAGAACACGATGAGTGACTTAGGAGGCTGTGGGGATGTAGGAGGAGTACTTGGAAGAAGTGCCGAGAGACCTGTCCGTGTGTTCATTTTAAAGAAAAGGCCTCTTGCTAAATATCAAAGGGACAAATGAGTATTGCAAGATGATCCTACTGTACGGTTTCTAAATGCTGCTTCGATCCAGCTTCACCCCTAAGCAATCACTGGAACCACCCATCCCCAACCATCAAGCCATGCTCAGGATACCTGCTTGGACTTGTATTTTTTGGTATAACGTAGTGAGACGAAGCATTCTGGTTTCATATCTATGCTTTCTGGATCAGAGACAGCCTGGGGAGACATGGCCCAGTTCTTCATCTTTAGAAATGAAAGGATCTTGTGGACCTCGGGATGATAAGAGCTATCGGCCATCGTTTTACCTTTTGAGGCTAAAACGCAAGCAGCCATCCACCGAGCATATTGATTCTCCTGCAACAAAGACAATTGTTTGGTATTTTTGGACAAGCCATTTATGAAGACGGCTACTGCTCACGCATCTTTCACTGCGCGATAAAACCACTCTGGAGTTACTCCGCTTAATTTGCGTGGATGTGTAGTAACCATAGTACTATTGTTCTTCCCTGACTGGGCTAGTTCCACCGACAGGACTGCCTTTGCAGAACAGTTAGGTTTTAAATTTTCAAAGAAACCCAGTACTTTGGAATAGATTCTCATGGAAATTTTATTGCATGACTGTTTTCCACCTAATGAACATTTTTACACAATTTGGATTGATACATTTCAATACACGTGAAATAAATTGAAACGGAAAACAAATGCAAGATCCTTATCACACTACTCTCATCTGAATGGGAAGAGTTCTAATTAAGAAAAAAGAAGAGAACAAAACCCCAAACCCCAGTCCTGTGAAAACACTGAAGCAAAACATTGTAATTTCTTTTTACCTTTTTGATAGTATGTTCTTTTTTCTTTCCAGCAGCTTTACTTGGAAACTGATGATAAACATAGAATTACTGTCCTTTTGTCCCCTCAACCATAAAGTATTTGTTAAACCACCACATCATTCTTAAATTTTACTAAACATGTAGAAAATAAACTCTCTGCAGCATCCTTGGTTTTCGATACAAATTCTAGAACAAGACAATGGGTCTTCTAGACAATCTGCCAATAAATCTGGAATACAAACTTTCCCTTGTCTTATTACTCACGTTTTCGCATCTTAAATATACTTCATTCATGCCATCAGCAACAGGAATTAGTAATTTGATTCCAAACTTCTTCGCTGCAACATTTACATCTGGTACAACTTCACATCCTAGATCAGAGAGAATCAGGAAGGAATAGATTTATTTAATTACTACATCACTAACTTTAAGTACTGATTAATACTGAAGAACAGTACTTAATGGTTGATTTTCTTTGAGATCAAAGGCCAAGACTTCCGAAGCTTAGGCCTGTTCTAGCTTTCTGTTCTAGTTCACTGCCTGGTCTGGCTTGCCAGGGTGATGAATGCTCGGAGCTCAAAGAGCATGTTAGTCAATGTGAAAAAGAAAGGATCCAAGTGCTCTCAAAACCTCAGCCTGATCTTAGGAAATGCTCAACACTTAAAATGAAGAGGAGCTGATGAGATAGGCACTTTTGGAAATTTTTGCCTAATTGTCTTGAAAGCCTGGACTATATTTTCAGAAGCTGCTTAGTACTGACAATGGGACGTGGGTGACATCTACAACAGAGCTGGCCAGTTCAGGGATCCGGGAGAACTCTGGGGACCTGGTATTTCATGTTGATGGTGCTATTACAGGCCTTCTGGATTCAGCTGGAGTCGAGGATGCCTACAGTCCCCCTCTGTGTCGAGGGACACCAAGGCTGTGGGCTACTTGGTGAGGTTCTGGTCACCCTGGCTAGTTTTACCATGCATTTATCTGACCTACTGAGGATATGCAGATTGGTATGCAGAGCCATTTGTTCACAGGGGTCAATCTGCTTTCTATTTCAAAGGTTTCTTCTAGGATGAATCCTGGGCATCACTGGTTCCCTGACGCTGAACAAATGATGTCCCTGCAGGAGTAGATGTAGATGGAGGCTATATATGGTGCTGCTGTTTGCCGTGTGTACACCTGGGATTTCTCCTCCAGAAGTACCTAAAGCTGGTTGTAGCTATGGAAATCCCCATTCATGAAACAAGGTCCAGAGAAGGTCTTGGAGCTGTCCCTGCACAGCAGTATATAGGTGCAACCTATGGCATTCTTGTCCGCTGCATCATCCATAAGCCTCTGCTACCAGTGTGCGTTTGCCAAGGACAGAGGTGAGTACTAGCATTTAACATAGAGTAAAAATATTTGGAAATAAAAGTGTCACACAGATCCCATTCTCTGACTCATCTTTAAGTGAATTCGGCAGTACGTGGCATTTTACAAGCCAGGTCCAGATAATCTTGGTTTGGGCTAAGCTATTGAATCCTTTTTGTTTAGGCCTCTTTTGCAGATGCAGTCTGCCTGCTTAGGAGTCTCAGTAACTGAAAAAGTTCCAAGAGTAAATGCTACTGCGCTTGCCGTCCTGAGTCTCGCAGGGATTCCTTGATTTATTCAGTTCACGAATGCAATAGAAAAAGGAAAGAAAGGAAAAGAAAATTCCTACCTTTTAGGTTTAGTTTCTCAATAGGTTCTCCCTGTGCGGATTCCTTGTTTTTAAAATAAGATACTGAAGTGTCTTTAAAGACAAACCAATATGGCTTGATAGCTTTGAGTGACAGCTTCCTGGGCCTAAAAGAAAAAAAGAAATCACATTTGTTTATATTGAAATGTACAAATTGCTAAGTCACTCACAAACATTACTGTGGATCTCAAATTGCTTTGAGGTCATACACATGGCTTCCGTTGGGTTACTCATGCTTGTGTCAATGAGGCGGGTGGCAAACACCTGGAACCGACACCGCACCCAAGTTATCCCGGGTATGGATGTGGTTTTTACCCCAGATTCTAGCTGAATCCCATCTGTGATTTCTCTCGGGTTTTTTTCCTTCTCTTCTATGTGGTTTTTCTTACTTTTTTTTTGGTCTTTCATTCTTAATCAAAGCCCTTCCCTTCTAAGGAAGACTAATTCTGTTTTTTACATGAGCTCAGTAACACTAACGTAACCCACGAGTTTGTTCACACGCACTAGAATTAGCTTCAGTTTTTCATCGCTCCTTATTTAGAAGATTTGCACCATAAAACTAACTTGTATTCATTAAATTGTAAGGGAGTAGAGACCATCTTTTTGGCTTTATCTGAATAGTATCTAACACAACAAAATTCAATTCCTTCAATTATACAGGTTCTGTAGCACTCCAAGAAAAGGTAATAGTTTAAACCATCTTCTTCCACTAGGGCAGTGTTATTCCAGCTCCTCACACATGTATATAGATGGATATAATCCTAATTTTAATTATTTTGCTTAATTTCAATACTTGGCTAATGCAAACTGATTCCTTTCATAGAGTAAATTTAAAAATATCTACTTTGGAATTGAGAATTAACTGATAGATACCAATGGTCAAGCATAATCATTGTGCCCGCCCCACCTCTCTTCAGTAAGAGATAAAAATCATAATTAATTCTACTAAGAATACACTAACAAAGCCACCGGGGCTGGGGGGGAGGGAGAGGAATAAAATCCCAGGTTCAATATGTTTCGGGAGAGAAAACCAGAGGTATTAGCACTATTTTAGTAGAGAAATACTTCACAACTAGCTACAAAAGTCAACAATGAAGTTAAAAAGAAGAAAAAAGAAAAAAAAAAAAAAATTCCACTGTCTATTTAGTACTTCCCTTTAAATCTAAGATGATGGTACAAACAGTATACAGCTAGCTGGAAAACAGAGATTTATTATACCCATTCTTGCCTTCTCCAGAGCCTTTCTAGAAATCCTAGTTTAGAATCCTTTCTAGAAAATGGTGATTTGTATGATTAAATTTAAAAAAATAACTTGGATTTTCAAAACTGCCAAATATTTTGGCTTTTAATTTTCCAATATCGTGACATTCTTCAAAAATAAGGGACTATAATTTTTTTTAGACTGACAAAATTATTTTTCTATCCAAAAAAAGTTGCTGAAAACTTGTTTGAAAGCTTTTTGTTGTTGTTGTTTTTGAAAAAAAAAATTGTAATTCTCCACCATATTGTCACCCACCTGAAAGTAGTATTTACTAGTGTGCTAATGTGGTGCATACTGTGAATAAATGTGAATAAAAGTTCACTATATGAATAGACCCAGCAGTATGACATACAGCTTTGCATTTATGTTTACAATTAAGCAAATAACTATAGTAGCAAAATGCTGTTGTTCTTTTAAAGAAATGTTTTACGCCTTACCTAGTTTCTACAATGTCTTAGGTTTAGTAAGTGATTTATCATGTATATAGGAAATTTTTCATGATGAAAAATAACCGCTGAATGCTTTTAAAAGCAAACTGCTCTACTGCTGGGGAAAAATAAACAATGCATTGTTAGAGGCGAATAACTGACAGAACTTAAAAGGCTTAAATTCCCTTTCATCTTGAGCCACCTTAGTAATTTGAACATCAAATAAAATTTCTTAATTGGGAATTAATAATTAACAATTCTTAACAGTTAACAACAGTTAACAGTTTTCAAGTGCAATTTTCAGTTTGCTGGCTACAAATATGATTTGTCAACGGAATGAATGATAAATACTTGGGCAACAGAAATCTTTATCTTTCTAAAACATGTGGACTGTTTTGCGATAAAAGGCACTACGGACTTGAGGTCACTGCAGGCATTTAAATAACCCATAAATGAAGATATTCTAGTGGGATCAGAGAATTGTACTTTCCTCAGTTTACTTACTTAGGTGAGGTATTACTGATCTGGTTTACCATACTGCTACTTCAACTTGAAACTCATTTTGATATTAGAAACAGACTCCATGCTTGGTTAGAAAGGGGTAATTTGTTTGTTTCTTTTGTTTAAAAAAATACATCAATCCCCAGGGTTGCTTTCAGAAATTCTTCTCAGGGAGAGCTGAAAGTTCTTTCTAGTTTTTCATTGGCAAAACCCAGTAAAATGTGATTGAAAACAAAATTGTAGACTCTCTTGTTTAGAGATGATGATTGATGAGCACTAGGAAATTTAAAGAGCCTGGTCTTTTAATAAGCATAGGTATAGCTACCCCAGCACCCCAAGAGCTGGAAAGATTTGCTGACAGTCTTGCTCAGAAGCAGTAAGAGAAAGATTTGAAGATGATATTAGGTGTATTTGTTGATTTATAACCTTAGGATCTACCGTTAGATTAGAATGAAAAACTCAAGAGATCTCTTGTATGGTTAAGCTTTTTGTTTTGTATGTTTTATTATTAGTTTTAATCACTCACCTAACTAGCCTGAGATTATCAGCAAGTTTCGGGATGTCTGTGATGTCCTCCTATCAGGAATAATTAGGAATAATTTTAGTACAATGCACTTTGTAATCGTCTGTTAACTCTGTTAAAAAAATCAGGAACCAGGTGGGCTCATCGGAGTCAATGCATTTGGCACAGTGAAAGCAATTCTGGGATCTGAAAGGACATACCAGAGCGTTACTTGTGTTTCCACCTTCCAGTGTCACTTCCAGATTAGAAAGTGCAGCTTCTACTTCATCTACTTCTGATTCACAGGTGAAATCTTGTGCCTCTGATGATAATGATAACTTGTTTACATGATACTAAAATAAAACATCGAATATCAAATAGTCAATATATCGGTTAGCAACACGCAATCACAGCATATGGAAAATAGGCCATTTGGTCTTCTGGGTCTCGGACAACTGCGTAAAGTTCTGCAGCACGGAACTATGGCGTGTTTCACAAGGAAACAGGTATGTCCACCGTAATCTCCTGTGCAATTACTGATAACAGTTTCCTATTTTAATTGCCAGTGTTTCTATTCCTTCAGTGTATAATCATCCTGTTCTGTGAGGCCGACTCAACGCTGACATTTCCATCCCTAGTACTGTCAGCTGTAAGTGCCATCCGTACCAGGTGGAAACGTGGCAGCAAGGTTCTGTGGTGTTCCACAGTGGCAGGCCGTGAATTTTTGGGCAGCTCCGTTTACGTTTAAAAGGAAGGAATGTATTAATAATCAACATTTGTGCCTTATTACCTACAGTCAGGGACTAAGTCACGCTAAGTCATGATAAATTTCTACGTACTCCATAGCGTCCCTACCTTCACATTGTGCTATAGCTTTTTTTCGGTCTGTTGTGAACATATGTATTGATGTATTAGAGAAATTTTCAGGGAGAATATGTGAAAGGGTGGTAGCTGGTATGGGAAGCAACACTTCATAGTAATCCCCTTCAGAATAGACTGGTATCAAAGTTACATCCTGGGTACGGTTTGCTTTAGAAAATCTTAGTAAATGGTTCCATAATTGTATGTGTCAGTTTGAATAATGGTGTGCTGCTACTGAATTTAGTTGGTTTAGCTGATGGCTGCTGCTTATTGTTTCTCACTCAAATAGCAGCCCCCCAGTCCAAACAGAGCTATTGGCCTGGGCTCTATCCGAGTCTTGCCCTAGCTTGTGCCTGCCTCTTGAGCAAACAGGTTTTGCAACTTGGATCAAGTACGTGCCTGTAGTGCAGCGAAGATCAGCATTTCTTCCTCTGTGCAGTCAATTTCTTCTAAGAGGATGGCCCAACGGGCTTGTTCATATATTTGGTTTATTCGCACTGCATCATACTGTAGCAAAAAAGAACAACATTGGTCATTAATGACCATCAAGATACAGATTCACGATCAGCTGCAGCTGACCTAACATTGGGCTGAAGCCATAAAGGTTGTTTCCTTCCTCCCCCCACCTCTGCCCTGCTGTGTACGTTCCCATCCTTCTCTTGTACTAGCCGGTGTGATTGTGTGTAGGGTCACAGTGGCTTGCTGATCCAACAGAAAATTAATCAGGAGTCCTTGGCTGAAGCAGAAGGGGAGATTAAGACATCCCCTTTTGTGGTAGTGGGCCTTGGACTGACTTAACCGAAATGTGAAACCACACTATGAGAGTGAAAATACTGTGACGCAGCTGATATGAATGTGACATTCAACAGCTTGCTACTGCCAAAAGACAGAAGCTCTTATTCCTCACTTCCCCTCTTCTGCTCTTGGCTTTTTCGGTTCTGGCTCTATCTTTGCACTGGCTTGACATTTGTCAGATCCTGCTGTGAACTGCTTTAATTCACTACCCATTTTTTGGATAGCGATTGTTTCTTATTATCTACTTGGTTAATAAGCTGAAATGACTCACAGAAATATTCAAGCCCCAGAGCTGGTGAAAGGTAGGTGATGGGAGGGTAAACCTTGGAGCGTGACCTCTCCCAGTAGTGGTGAGCGATTAAGTTGCCTGAAGCTGTTTTGGGTTATTTCATCCTATGGCTCCATGGCTGGCTGGGGCAAAGAAGGGAAATGTTTGGGCTGCTGATGTTGAGACACGTACTTGAATTTTAGTGGGGGTGGCATTTCACCCAAAAACAAGCCACCTGTTTATCTGAGATGCCTGAAATGAAGGAGTTTTACAGAATTTACAGAAAATAACAATGTGAAGGCCACATCCTCTAAAATTCACATTTGAACTCTTGTTGATTTACACTGGCCGATGATCATGCTTTAATTTCACTAAATGTATCACCCGAGCCTTAAAAACACTGGCTTAACACAACCAGCGTTGACTTTTGGTGGAAACAAATGCAAACGAGAGGCAACTTGAGAAAAACATTGAAGTGATTTTTGAAGACTAAGTCTTGTTTTCAAATGAGACTTAGGCATTTTTGCTGAACTTTCCAAAGGTATTTAACAACCCAGTTACATTGAAACAAATTTGATGTAAGCGCCTGAGTGCTTCTGCGGGCTTCAGAATATATATTCAGCCCAGAAAAGCTGAATATTCAGTGAAGGGCAGTGGAACATAAATGTAATTTTTAAGTCCATTTTCAAAAATAGGGCTTACACCTTTACATCGTTTAGGATGCTGTCAGTTTAGTTTTCCCCTTAATTTTTCTTGTTAGAGGAGAGGCAGAAAGTAAACCAGCCCCTCTGGAAGTCTGGATACTGTTTCTGGTGCTCTTCAGATCTCATCTTTATACTTAAGATCTTATTTCAGGTGAGGAATGGTGATTCAGTGTCCAGAGGTGAAAAATGTAGCCTTAGCTGAGGGGAAGAAGTTGAATTTGAGCTCTGAAGGCCTAACAAATCCTAGCTAAAATTCAGTATCCTTGTGCTATAGCTCCTTGACATGAAAGCAGGCAAACAATGAATAGCAATAAAAACAAAGCTCTTACTTTTGGATTCAAATCAAAGAAAGTGTAATATTTAAAGCGTAAAAGAAGTTGATCGTCCTCCAGAATGCCTTGTTCCATAAGTGATCGAGATGAATCTAGCCAGCTGCGGAAGAAAACAACCCACAGATTCATCTGTACAGGAAAAACTATCACACCTGCAGAGCTCCAATGTACTTGTGAAACAAAAGCGGGAACAAATAGCTCTGATTCCTGCAAGTCTGGGGAAAATTCGCGTAACCCGAGAAGGTGGAACGTTCATATGGATTTCCAACTTTCATTGTATAAACACAATACCTACAATCTTCCTATTTTTTTCTCCAGCACTACTCAAAACATCAGAAGGAGATGCCCGAAACTGAGCAGTAACTAGTTGTGGGGTGACCTATGCCAATAAGATTCTTTCTTCTTGATCTCCAGAAATGCGAGGTTCGTTTAAGCCAGGGCGAAAGTGTACCTGTATATTTAGAACTCCCGCTTTTCATTTCAGTATTTGCTGTTTTGTAATTCTAGCTACTTCTGTTCTCCAGTGAAATCCAATGAAAATATCGAAGTCACTGTTAAATGCTCCACAGATCTAAAAATGACAATCCGTATTTTAATGCTAGAGAGACAATCCTCTCAAACACTTGCACCACTAAACCCCCCAGTGCTCTGGATTCTTCTGTGGTGTACAATAAGCAATGTTTGCTTGCGCATAATTCAGTAAGTCACCTATTTGTAATGCATTAGAGCTTTACGGAGTTTATCCACGTTTATTTCCACTGTCCATTTAAAGCCTTTAGAGTTTGCTATCCAAACTGTCCTTTAGCTACGCCCAAAGTGCTAAACTGGATTTGCCTTCATCTAACAACAGAATTTAGTCCAGAGCCTGCACAATTACATCATTCATCACTTTCAAACCAAATTGCCTAACCAAGAATGTTGAATAAGGAAAAAAGATTACAAAGAGTAAGTATTTCTGAAATAAACCCAAGATCAAAGCATGCATTTAAGTATCAATGTAGCCATATATCAGGGGGTTGTTGTCAAATTCTGCTTTACACTTAAGAAGCTGGATTAATGCTACCCTTGTTAAGCCAGCTAACAAAGATCTCAAAGAGCGGCATCTTACCCTGCATTGAGTTTGGCTTTGTCAGCTAAAGTCCGAGGCTGGTACATCTCTGCTAGTGTTTCTGGAGAACAGTTGGGATGACTGAAGGCGAGGATGCTGCAGTTCTGCTCAGTCAAGGGACTGTCGCTGAACCACGTGATTGTAGAAGATGCTGGTGTCCCACTGATGGGATCATAAACGGGTGTCATGGTTTTACTATATAAACCTGGACTTCCTGCAAGTTAAGAGAGTAATGTATTATTCCAGGGAAAACTGCCTTCAGACTTAGGTAGTCCACCACTTTCCATCATAGGAAAAGACTAACCCTTTTCTTTCAAGACAGTCTCCTATCTCTGCTGTTTACAGCAGGCCTTGTCCTTTCACGGGTGAAGTGTGACAGAAGTGCTCTTCCTTGTTCTGTGAGATATCTCAGTTGTGTTGGAGATAGGAAACACATACATTCAAGCCTTTATTTCTCCTTTTCCTTGGAGGTTGCCAAAATTGTTGAATATTTTAAGAGTGGTCTCACATTTTCAAAGAGCAGCAGCACATCCTGTGTGCAGGGCCACAGCTGATCACCCGTTTTCTGGTATAGCCTTTCTCATGTCAGTGGAATGGAAAACATTTGAAAAACAACAGAAAAATATTGATATACTGGAGATTTCAGCAGCTTCTTGAAGCCACTAATTTCAGGCCAACTGTGTCTCTCTGACCACCATCCTACATTAAAGTGGTCTCCCTGGTTTTAATTGTGTAGCAAAGGATTTCTTCCTCTTTTTGACTTTTCAATCAGAAGAACAAAATCATATTGGTTTTTCATTACCTGATAATCCAGAACTCACTGGAGAGTTGCACAGGTTTAAAATATCTTCTGTAACTGGTTCTTTGCTGTTCTTGTCTTTTTTCTTTTTCTTTTTGAGTGCATCTTCTGATTGCTTCAACAAAGAGAGTTCTTCTGACCGTCTAATATCTACAACGGCAATTTGGGAAGTGAAGCAAGATGAAACATTTGAAACTTAGCAGCTTACATCCAAAAAAAGCCCGTGGTTGGTAATAGCATTTGGGGAAGCTCCATGTTGCAATCTGAATTTTATTTCTAGCAGGTTGAAAGCAGTAGCCATGGAAAATCCAGTAACTGAATAACAAGGCCAAAGACTTTGGGCTGCGAGAGTGAGTTTTGACAGGATTTAAGCCTGCTTTTGTAGCAAGCATAACTGCATTTTAGAACACCAGGGAAAAACTCTTTCTCCCTGATGGCTCTGCAATCACCTTTGAGCATAATAACCCCAATGAAATGTCTGACTTATAAATAAGCAAGAACAGAAATGAAACCACTGTATTTGAAGTTCATGCCTTCTATTATTCACTTAAGACTTTTATATTTCACATACAAGATTCTGTCTTGGCTATACACTATTCCCTACTGCACTACTGATTCAGACATGTATTGTCAGTTGCAAACCTGACACTGTTTCTGAAAAACTCTTTTATCCTGGGGTAAGCAAAGACATTTTTTGACAGTATTCACTCATGAGAAAAGTTACAGGGTTCCTCTACTGACTCAGTCTGGAAGAAAAATGTGGGTAGAAATACTTAATTTGGCCAAATGTCAGCTGAACAATTATGGCATCATTTTATCAGAGCTATTAAATGTAATAAAGACATACTATCCCTTTCACAGTCCAGTGCTAGAAGATGAAACTGAAAGCTACATTGTAGTCAATATGAGGTGGTAAATTCCTTCTGAAGATGAATGTGGTGTTGGCCTCAGCTTGGAAGATCTAAATTAAAGAATCCCTAACACTAAGGCATTGTGAAGACTGTTTGCAGACTCGACTTATTCCTGCGGATCACAGGCACACAGGTCAGGCATCCTCCAAAACCTCATCTCTGCTTGGAGGTGCTCCATTACTGGAAAGAGCAGAGACACGGGGACTCAGTGCTGCAACACATTCATGGGCTTGTGTGTGGTAGTTGGGTATGCCCTGACCCGAAGATGTTTGGGCATATAAAAGTTTTGAACGTTTAAAACATGCTCCTTCTGATGTAAATACATATGACCAATAGGCCAAGTTGAATATCATTAATGCTAGTGAAAGTAGGTGATAAATCAGTTGACGTGGTGAAAGCTGGTGTAGGAGATTGGTAAGCTCAAGCTCTTAGTCGATGGCATAGAATAAGCAAGACGGAGTCCCGCTCAAGGAGGACAAGGATCCCTACAAACCCATCAACCATGACTTTGACTATCCAGTACTCCTGCAGCTCATGGGACACATTTCTGATACTGTTTGCATCAGTTATGACCACGACTGAGAACCATTGACATGCACTGGATACTAAAAACCAAAAAATCTGTCTTTTGATCCTGGGTCAGCTCAATCAAATTTCTCCTTGAGGTAAACAGTTTTGTGAGTAAGGAATTCACATCAAAACAAAGTCGCCTAATAAAATGCTCCAACTTAGCTGCCAGAGGGGATTTAGCTTTACTTACTGAGAATTTTGCAGATGTCACTGACAGCTTTGAATACCACAGAAGAGAAGCTGACTTTCAGTCTCACAGTCTTCATGTTTGGCAAGCGAAGCCGCAGCATTTTGTGCTGAGTAGTAAAGAACAGCTTAGCATCTGCCTGCACCCCGCATTTATCGAGTGTCCAGTGGGTTTTCAGAAGCCAACATTTTTTTTGCTCCCACCAAAGGGCATAGTCTGACCAATCTTGTGATATTTCTAGGAAAATACAAAATGGTTATTAATAAACTATGGAGCAAATACACTAAAAAACTTGGTTTGGAAACAGTGCTCTGCAAACAGGAGAAATTATTTACATTGAAGTAGCAACTACAGTTCCTGAGACCTAGACCCCATTTGCTGAATACTTGTGGCAGTCACTGGGAACTAACTTTGTTTTCCCTGAAGAGTTAACCTAGGTGCTGACTGTGGCACTGCCTTAATCTTGCAGATATCCACAGGCAAAGTGCATCTCCTGAATCTGGTGCTATGCATGGTCCAGCGCTGCTTGGATTGTGCTGGGATATGGGCTAATAACAAGGGTACCCACTTTGCAACTTGATAGCGCAAACTAAAAGTCCTCCCACAAAACCTTGTGTGCACCCAGATGGGCACAAGTTCTTCCACATACTCCTGGGAAGCACCGCTGAACAGCTCCTCTCTATAGTGTTAAGAACCAGCAGTGAGTCCCTTGAAGTCTTGGTGACACACAGCTAAGGGCTGTTCTCAGCTCTTCTCTGTGGCTGCACAGTTAGACTAACAAGGATGCTCACCTGAGTGTAGCCCACTTACGACAACTTTACAGTGGCAACGTTCTTTAAATAATCAAGGAAAATAATTATTATTTTGGGAGTAAGCCCTGTGACAATCAGGAAAGAGTTAGCAAGCTCTCTAACAAGTAAGATGACCTTCTCTACCACACAGGATGCAGAAACTTGTAAGGGAGGTAGAATGGGCATGATGCGATATGGTACAGTTAAATCTTTTATTAGTCTGTGCAGGAGGGCAGGCTGGTGTGACTGACCAGGGACTGACAACGGTTGCCTACAAAAACTTCTCGGAGAAGACAGGCCTGCCAAGAGATGACTGTCTTGTTTCACTAATACGGGCTTGCCTGTGTTCTGCTTAAGTAAAAAATGTTTGTGTATTTTGTACTTTGAAAACATACAGCTAAAGTAAGGCTTGCTGAATCAAGAACAGATAGAAGACTTTGTTCACGACTTATATTAAGAGTTTTGGAAGGGAAGAACAGTGGCTTTTACCTGATTACTCTTGAGCAGTAAGCTATCCTGACCTGAAAGGTGTCAAAACCTTGACTAGATCAGCATGAGAAGCACATGCATAAGGAAAGAGATAAAGTATTGCTGCTCTCAGTTCCATGGGGAATTCCAAGATTAGATGACTTCCCAGATGCCAATGATGTGTAGTAGCAGGTAAAGTTTCTGTGTGATCTTGGTCAAGTTGTTTCAGTCTTCTGCGTCATTTCTCATTCCTCACCAGCTCCGCCAGGTAGAGGCTATTCCTCAGCCTGTCTATAGCACAGTAGAGCCCTGTCCTGTTTTGGAGTTTCTTGGGAAAAGATTGTGTCTTGAGAGCTGCTGACACAAATCACTTAGTTACAGATTTGCTTTAAATATTATTTAATATAGAAAGCTTTTCGCACTAGTTGAGTACTAGTTATAAGAATACTGTGAAAAATTAGTCTTCTGACCCAGTGAGAACTCCAGCTACCATTGGTTTGCTGGCTGAACTGTGTGGGTAAGTATGCACAGAAGTTGGTAGAAATGTATCACAGTTATGCGACCTGTTTTAATGCTGGAAAAGGGATTCCCTGATAAAATCACTATCTCCAAGTAGAGCTTTTCCATGACAGAGGGTTTTCGTGTAAAAATGTCCTTCCATTGGATGGGAGCCTTTTGGAAAGGATATCTCACGCATCTCCCCTTTGTTTCCTTCAAACCCCATGTTTGAAAACAAAACCATTCATTTGGCAGTAAGAACTCTGAAATTAAGTTGTCGATTTTTAAATTTCTTGACACTATTTTGCTGAAGGGTTTTGTTATACTTCAGTTTTTCTCTTCTTGTTTGTCTGAAGTCAAGCTATGTGAGAAAGACTAAAGTTTCAAGGAGGTTTCTTTTTACTTTTTTTTTTGTTGTTGCCACAAATCTTGTATTTCTAGAGCAATGCATGGAAATGCAAAGCTCACGGTGTTCCCACTTGGCGAGTCTAATCTAGCAGACAGGTTCCTTTCTGTGTGAAGTTTGTGACTGAAGACTTCTAGATTTAAGAATTCAGGAAAAAGAACAATACTTGAAGAATGAGTTGCATATGAAAACCCTGTGGCATTGATATAATAATCAAATACCATACTATCTTGTCTGTATCTATCATTCTGCTGCCTCAGTGCAGATGATGATTTTGGGAGGCAGCTCCATTTGACGGCTTTGAGTTAAAGAAACCTGGATTCTCTTATTGCCTGTAGCGCTGACTTGCTGTGACTGTACACAGGGTATTTTACCTTTCATCTCCTAACTTTGACTCGGCCAGTCTCTGCTCTTCACAGCCGTTCCCTGCTGGATATAAGCAATGGATAATGTGGCTCAGATTTTGGCTGGAACGCTACTACAGCACAGGAAACAGCAACTTCTGAAATGCCTTTGTAACAACTAATCCCATCCCTCTGACTGCCACAGATGGATAAATAGGGTATCAGCTACCTTTACTGCCCCTCAAACTAGCCACCTATAAAGTCTATCTGGACAGGGAGTTGAATAGTTAGTCTAGTCCAACTGCATTTGTCTAACTGGAAGACAAGAACAAAGTAAAGTTTTGTTTGCACTGTGACAGTATGGGGCTTTAGTCACAGACAGGGAGGGGTTCTGGCCACATAAAAACCCCGAGTCTGCAGCACCTACGTGCTCAGCGTACCGTTACAAAGAAGTGAGTGAGGCAGTGCCACTTCAAAATGCGCAGGAGCCTCTTTTTGTAGAAGGAAAGCTGCATGTATTATTTTAGTAACACTGTGTAAATTAAACAGGTCTTTACTCACTGATTTGTTCTACTAATTTCAGCATCACTCCTCCAATATGAAGGTCCCCTGTGACCCGCAGTAAAAATTCCTTTTGTACCTCTTCATGCTGATGATCAACTGTCACCAAAAGCTCCCAGGAATGAGACCCATATTCACTTGAGGAAATCATTTTGCAAAGGTCTATGTAAGCTCTGCAAAAACAAACCAAACAAACAAAAAGGATATTTTTCCTCCGTTCTCTGAAACAAATGCATCTCCCCACAGTCTCAAAATACCTCCATGCTGCCAAGATTTCGCAGTGGCCTTGGCTGGAACTTCAGATGTGTTATCTTGTTACCTCTGAACTAGACTCTGCTCTTGTGATTACTCTTGCAAGATAGGCATGTGGGATTTTTTGTTTTTATTCTGATTTCCAATCCCCCAACTCAAGTGTCTCCAGCTGGGTAGAAACAGCCCAGTTTTACCCGGGTTTCCCCACTATACAATGCTATTCTGCCCGTCTGGACACCGTAAAGCCTGCAGTTGTGGATGGGATCTGTTTTGGCAATCTGTCCAGTGAACAAAGGAATTTCGTTGACTTGTACACTTACAGCTGTAATTTTCACTGCAAATGAAAGTTTACACTTGCAGTTCTGCCAGCTTGGTCCCATGGGACCAAAACCAGAGAGTAGTTTTACCTATTTGCGAGGGAGGCAAGTAACTTTAATGGCTCTCTGCCAGCAATACCCAGGCACAGAACTGCAGTTTCTGCTGATTGTCTGCTTGCACAGAGATGTCGGCATGTACCCTGTCTCAGCAGGGTGTATCGTCTGAGATCCCACCAGGCTCCTGCCAGGACAGGTAAACAGTGATCGTGCCAAGCCCAACTAGAGAAGATGCTCAAAGTAGAAGCTGTGGTTATCGTCAGTAGAGTTCTGCTAATTACTGAAGAAAGAGCTTGTAGGTCTAAGGTGATGCTGCAGGAAGGATTTGGGATATTTAACGAGTGAGAGAAGACACCAGATTAGCACTCAGTGTCCTGTTAAACTGAACCCTAAGAAACAAGCCCTTGCAGTTGAAGCTTAGGCAGTAAAGTGGATGACTTCCATTTATTGCAGACTTTCAGCAGCACCTGAGAACCCAAGTCACAGACAGGGACTCAGTTAAAGGTGCCATACACAGACTGCTTCTAACGTAAAAAATGACTAGGACTTGTTTACAAAGAAGGCTAGGGGGGTTGTAACAACATTAACAGATTTCTGTAGATCTTTTTAAAGAGAAGTATTGAGTAAGTTAAAACCCTTAGCCTAAAAGTTACGTCAAACCCAGAAAAATCAAGAACCGTTGTCATAGGTGAGGAGTGAGAGAAGGAACGACCTTTTCTAGGACTGACTGCAGGACAAGACCAGAGTAGCTTAGGTTACGCTACCATAAGATTAAGCTAAAGGTTAAATAAAGCATGCCTGGAAACAGGGTGAAAATTTAAGTTCACCTATTTACTGAATTTATAATGAAGCTTTATGTTACCGATTAGATAATAAAAGAGGTTTTTTGTGCCAAAAGATACTACTTTAGGGCAGAGCCCAGTTCAATGTTCACTCTGAGGTTCCCTTCCAGAGGTGCAAGGAGGCTCTTGCAACTCAAGAGCCAGCCTGTTACAGCTTAACTTTCCCCAGACTTTCAGGTGTTATTCATGTTTCTTAACACCTTATGGTTTAAGAATTTCAACAGGAAGACTTTTGATATTTTGTTAAATGGTGTATCATGCAGTATTTGTATTATGGAGTACAACATAAATCAGTCATCTAACTGTTTCAGTGAAGTTCTTTTAAAATCCGTTCTCAGAATACTAATGTTGTAGGCTTGGTTCCTTGAACTCCTTTGGGCCTAGGCCATGCCTGCTGTCAACCTACTGACATAAAATTTGATATCAAAGGGATAATAGAAATGTGGTGGTAATGACAAATTCTGCTAATAAGGAAAAGTGATTCCAAAGGTAAAGGCAATGAAAGTGTATCTGTTAAAGGTTAGATTGATCGCCCCCTAAATGAATGACAATATAAACGAAACATCTGTCCAGCTCAAAACCATCCTTTTAGGGGAAAATCACCTTACCAAGGAGTTTCACTAGAACAGTGCTGGGAGTCTGCCCTGAAATTCTAAAATCATGATGACTTATAGACAGCCCTAACTCAGAAAACTGCGACTTTGTAATCATATGACTCCAAGAGGCTAATTTACGCTGAGGAACAAATGCTATTGTTAATTATGTTCTTGGATGTGCCAGCCTACACCTTTTCACCAGTTACTAAACCAACAAAGGTTGATACTTATCCAAGAGGTTTGTTTGTTTTGCCTTGGTAAATAAAGACATTGTGTCGGACACTGTGGCTCTCCTGCCTCAGGGATAGAGCTGGGATTTCGAATTCGTGCTGCTGTGTGCCACATGGATGTGCTAGCTTAGGTATGCATTAGACCAGGGGGGGACCTGGTGGAGGGGAAGGGCTGTGCCTCTCCTGAAGGCACAGCGTCCAAGAGACAGCTCCTGAGATGGTCTCCCAGGCAGATGAGGCTTTCAGCACAACAGTTAACCGTTGCACTGTACTCATTGCAAAACAAAAATCCTGGCCTCAGAAAAGTCAAAATGCCACTAGTCGCTCTCCTAAGCATCACTAACAGCATTAAAAATAAATAAATCTACAACTGGCCTAAGCGTGAGAACTACGTGCTTTCATTTCGGGAGCATGGGTATGATATCTGGCAGGTGAACTATACTTTTGCCTACGCTACAGTCCACTATAAGCCAGTATTGTTACTGAAAAGAAGCCGCCTCATCTGCCCTCTTGTGCCAGCGAAAACATTTGGGAGCTGATCTGGGTTTTTTTTTTCTTTTTAAATTTGGTTTAGCTTCCCAGTCTAATTCTGCATACAAATGCTTGTGCTGACACGGGTGAAAATGGGTAGCCCAAGGGCTGGGTGAAACTCTTTTCTTTCATTTGCGCTGGCTTGGAAAACCATGGCCTCGGTGCAGCTAATCCTGGCACGCCACCATTCCCTAAAGCTGCTCTCTTCCCCACTTCCTCTTCAAACCAGGAGGTTTTAGTTTGATGGCAAGAAAACACAAACACTAGTAAATTATCCCAGAACGCAGCACAAACAAAGCCTAGTCTCAAAGAAGAGGCAAGCTAAGCAACGAGGACAACTAACTATCGTGTATTAAAACCCAAACAAACCCAAACTGCCGGGGGGGGGGCTGCGTGTCTCAAAGCCTTCGGGTCAAGACTGGATCTGCTCGGGGAACGCGCCCCAGTTCCCGGGCTCCACGTGGGCTGCAGCTGTATGGCCTGGCACGGGGAGATCAAACCGGCCAGAAACGCGTCTTCGGGCTGTAGCTGACTCTAGTCAGTATTTCTACAGAGCATTTTAGCCAACGCAGCTACAAAAAAGCAGCAATTACTCTACAGATCGAGCTCTCCGCACGTTTTAGCCCTTAGAGCCCCGAACTTGAAACTTTCTAACGCAGGAAAAGCTCCACTTCAAGGTAAAGGGGGGGAAAACCAGAGTATGATGTCTCCCTGAGTATTTCTAAGACGGGTAGCGCCCTGGCATCTTTCGGAAGGTGGCTGCTGGGAGGTAAGGGGGTAAATACGGCACGCGTTCCTGCGCCCTCCTGCACGGCTCTGAGGGCAGGGCAGGCGTTTGAGGAAGTGCCAGGCTGGAGTGACCCCGCGGAGGCGGTTCCCCGCGGGGGGCCGGGATGGGATCAACCCGCAGCGGTTACAAGCGCCGGAGAATAATTTAAAAAAAAATGACTAAAAC